TGTCAGCGTTGCGCAGACTGCTGTGCTCTGTTCACGACGGCCTGGATCACGTATGCTACTAGTTTACATTTCAGAAATTTCAGGCTTTGTTCTGTTTCATCATTCAAGTTTCGCTCTTGATTTGTACTTCGGCAGGTTCATGAAACTAAGATTAGACAGGGTTCTATCAGATAGCTATGAAGCTAACAGTATAGAAGAGGCTCTGGCCTCCAATCGTGCTACTCTGGAGTTCGAGAAGCCAGAAAAATGGGTGGCGCCCTACCCAAAGTATGAGTATGGATGGTGGGAGGCCTTCCTGCCCGCTGGACTGAAACAGTCACAAGTATAGAATATTTTCCCCACTTTTTCTTTCTGTTATCATCATGTTGTATGGGCAATTCGTGTTGGTTGATTTCCATACAACTCTGAGTTAGTGATCAGACAGTCGATATTTTTTTGGTTTTGTAATGTTAATGTTTGATTAGCTTTTTGCTTGTGTGAATAGATCAGGTTCTGCAAAACCGCGCAGAAAACTGCATCTTTCTTCTTACCTTGATAAACTAAACTTGACTCTTAAGAGGAAAGATATGTGAGGTTAGACAAATGTCACAACTATACATATAAAAAATATACAGTTTGATTTTATTCCTAGACAAATGTCAAAATTGCGTCCTTTTATAAGGTAAAATTTTTAGGAAAACCAGTTCAATTTTATTATTTATTGGTGATCAGAGGAAGGAAATGCAGATTGTATTCTAAAGTAAAATAATGGCGATTTCTAGGTTTCCTAACAAATCACGTTACCAAACAATGAAAAACAACTGATTTATCTCTGAGAAAATGGTAAATGATTTCTTCTCTACATATGTTTCTCTTATCTATTGTTGGGAAACAAAACAATAAAACCATTTGCACTGGGAAAGGAAAAGAGATGGAGAATGGTCGACGTCTTCTTCAACAACTAATCAGACCGTCAAGTGAGAAATAAAAGGATGAGTATGAGGATGGTATCAGGAGCAACAAACCTAAGAAACAGGAGAAATGGTGTTGTTCAGTAGATGGGGATGTGTACTTATTACAACTTATGATCAGTGCTGCTTGCGATCCTTGTGGAAAGGAGACATTGGGAGTTTCTGGAGAACCTTTTCATCCAACACAGCATATTTTTTCTTTAGTTCTCCTAAAGCCTTCTCTCCGTAATTGTCCACAGTATCCTCATGCTTCTCATACAGCACTGGCACTGTCAGGAACACCATAAACACTGCACTCACCGGTCACCAAACATAGCAGATCAGAAATCTTGTTTCTGAGTTTGAAATAACGAGCATTGAACTTAATGTATTCAATATAACATTGTTTGTATGTGCAACTGTGTTTGTCTGTGCAACTGTTTTAATCTGCATCCAGTATCATCACGCCTCCTAATTTCTCACCGGGAATGTCTTTTTAAATATATATATATTTCTATTGTTTCTTATCTAACCTCTTAGCTATTCGTTCAACTAACTTTGGCTCGTTAATACAATTTTAGTACCAGGAAATATTAAGCTGAAACCCACCTAAGTATAAGAGGGTTAGAAAATCAAACCAGCTGCCGACTACTGAGATAACCCACAAGGCCACAATTACCTGAAAAAATGCAGCGGAAAGCATAAAGAGACATTGATTATTTAGTGCCAAAGCATAGAGGTAGGACATCATGGAATAAAAAGGTACCCATAGAAACTTCTTCAAATCATTCCCTGAAGCTACTTCTCGAAAAGTTTTGAAAGAATAATTAAGCTCATCTCTGATGAGAAGAGCAACAGTGGCAGGCAGGTCTTCAGGCAATACAACCTTGGGGAATTCTGGCGGGGATCTGAATAAGATATATCATATAACCAAGTCACAATTGCTATTACAAAGAGAACAGAGTCGGTGCATGATAAACGTGAAATGCAGGGTGATTTTTAAGGCATATGATTCATCTCAAAGGCAAACATAATCATACATTGTTTATGTTGAGATTGCGAAATCGTAGTAACTTTATATTTGGTTCTTTTTTCAATTAAAAGTTGAAGGTGTCATTTGGAAACAAAGCAAGTATGTTGAGCAGCTGAGCTAATACCAAGAGCTAAGTAGCAGAAAGAATGGAGAGACTTACATATTGAAGAATGAGGCCAAGTTGGACCATAGGAATAATGTTGCTAATACCAGAATCAGAGAATGGCAAACAAATGTGAGCAAATGATAACCTATCCATTCAAAGAGAAGCCATATTACTGTTGCACCAGCACATATGCATGCCGTCACCTGCTTGTTTCGCCAAAGTATAATGTCAGCAGCTGCAAACACAAAGTGAAACACAACCGTCACACAAATTCGGAAGTCGACAGAAAACAGCCAATTAATTAGATTCGGATTAACATGAGCATAAATTGAGAAGACAATGCAACTTGACTATTATCTAAATAACATTTGAAGAGGTCAATTCGAATCAACCACCAAGTTTCAGAGAAGAAGAATATGCTTGAATTCTCTTACCTAAAAAGACAATAAACTAAATATACATATTATGCAGATATTTTTACAATTGAGGAAATTTACATTTTCCGCCGCCAAGGACCAGGTGAAGAGGCTTATCGCGGCCAAACAAGCGATTCTTGCCGGCAGGATGAGAAGAGTAGTATCTATCAACGTCTGAATCTGATGACGACTCAGTTTCATTATCATGTTTCTCAATCTCCTTGACGAACTGAGCATCAACACCATCCACCGGGTCCAGCGTCGTCATCTGCAAATTATACAATGCAATGATCAGCAAAAAATGAAGTGTTTAATCAGAGTAGAAACTCGGTGCTCCTTCCTCTTTCCCAACCTGGAAATGTCTTCGATTTCGCTGTATTTTTTCAGGAGTTTTTGCTCGTGAAACTGAAAATTCTGAAGGCAGTTAGTATTTTCTGGCAATCTTTATGGTTGTTGTGCCGAGTCAAGCGCGAAATGCCATATTTGAGAGTAAAAATAGCCAACTTCTTTCAGGCAACAACTTTTACCCTTTAATTATATTTAATTACTATTTGCATTAATTTTATTTTCTTTTTCTATAATTACTATGATTTTAATTATCATTTATCACTATTAATCATCCATATTATACTAATAAACTGATAATTAACTAATAACTATTACGGTCCAATAATAAAATACTATAAGACATCAATACCTTAAAATAATTCAAGTTAATTCAATAAAATTTTATTAAATAAAAGTTAGTACTGAGAATATAAAAAATAAAAATAAAGTAAAATAGTAATAGAGGTTCAGAATTATTTGGTAAAAATGAACTTCATAAAAAAATGTGACATTCATTTTGTTATTTACAGTAATTTAAAACTTTAAAAAGAAAATCACAATCTAAATGTAATGTTGGATAAGTTTACAACTTATTCCAAACATAAAAGTATTTATTTACAAATTAATTTTTTTAATTTAAAATTTAAAATAAATTTCTCATATTTATTTATACCGAAACTCTGGTCGAAAAACACGAACATTAGGGTTGCGTAATTGAATTCATCACTCAGCACAGATGTTGGGAAACTATTTTCATTAAAGAAATCAATCCTGCATCACAAGTCTTGTTTATGACTGTATGTTATTTCTCCAAAAAAAAGTCTGAGTAGGTAACATTTTTCTCTCCCTCTCTCTCAGAATTGCATTCAAGGATATCTAACAAGTTCATCCAAGCACCAATTGAAGACCATAACCTTTCAATGACAAGATTATTGAGAGCCTTGATTCTTCAAACCCTGCTACTGAAATTACATTCACTCCCTCTTGAGTCCATAATTGTCTACCAAGTTTTTGGCATTTGTCCGGCGCCAAGCTGCATGGAGATGACTCGTGAAAATTATTGCAAATTTTCATCACCTCTGAAACAAACAAACAAGTCAGACTCTATTTTAGAAGCAGTACAAGAAGAAGAAACCATACTTGAAACATATTTATTAAGAACGATAGACCACCTCAGATCAAGATGTCTTCTGTAATTTCTTGAAAGTTCCCTTCCTTCATTCTTAAAGAAATCTGGCCAGCATTTTGTTGTATGCCACAGGTTTTTGTCATCATTAACTCTTTTGTAGATCAAAATATGATCATCCGAAATATATGGAAACAGGAGATAGCAGACATGTAGATTTATGCAAGAATACCTGAAGACTCAGTAGGTTTCACTACAAAGATGTGATCATAATTGGAATTTAAATCCAAAGCACACGAGCATATGTGATCTAAAAAGCTTCTATGTAATTTAACGTAGGAATCCATTAAAAGTGTGGCAGAGAAAGTAATCACAACAAAACAGATTACAAGATTATGGAGTCACTTATCAGCATGAAGTAAATCATCCACAAGAGATGAGATTGATCGAGGAATACCAAGTGTTTCTTTAGCTTCAGCTAGCCTAACTCCATGAATTTGATCTTTTCAATCGCTTTGGAGCAGGATACTTTTCCTCCTCAAACGAGTCTACTTGTTCTTGCTCCCCAGCGTATATTTCATCATCTGCCTTCTCGGTGTTTAGTATTTCTTCTTCTTCATCATATAGCCCATCTTCATTTTCAATATCTGCTTCCTCATCTTCCTCAGTATCTAGTTCATCTCCAAACTCTCTGTCTAGTTCTTTGTCTTCAGAGTTATCATACCATAGTATGCATTATCAGATTTACTATCAAGTTCATTATTTTCCTATGCTGGTGGTTTGCAAAAATCTTCTGGATCATGCAGTAGACGGACCCCACAGCTTTTAACCTTGGAAGAACTTAAAGATTTAATTTCATTCTCTACAATAGAGAACTTAAAGGAAACCTCTTTATAGTTCTCATCAGAACTTTCTTCGATGAAACCTTCTTCAGCGGTCCCCGTATAAATTGATGCATCACACAAAAGGAACATATGCTCTGACTCAACAAATTTAGGTTGATCCCTAAATTTTGGCCATGGTTTTAATCCCCAGTGGAAATCACAGAACTCATCATCTCTGTTTTTCTAAATGGTAATCAGCTACAATAACTAAATTGGACCCATCAAAGTAGCCCTCAAATTCAGCCACAATGCAGAGAGCAAAACCAAGAAACTTGCTCTTGAACCAATGGGGAGATAGCTGGATAGTTATTGAAGATGTGTTGCTTTTATGGTTGAACCAGTCTGAAATTTCACTTCCCGGTAAACAGATAACAAATTGACATGTTCCAAACTGTGCCAAGAAGACATCACAAATTAATGCATTTTCCAGAATGAAACGAAAGAATTCTATGCATGTAGGTTGGTTAGTTCATATACCATAAGATAATATGTTGTAGAAGTATCACGAAAAATCCCTGAAGAAAGCAGAGATGCTTGTTTCTAGTATATAACTGGTTTATAGACTAGAATAATATGCAAGGAAGCATGAAACAGTAAATTAGAGAAAGATACAAAACCTCAATTTCTTCGCCATATTCCATCAGATGCTGAATTCTAAACTGTACATTAGCCAGAATGGTCTTGTATTCATTTTGATCCAATTTGAAGCAATTACTGAATATGTACTGCCCCTTACCTCCAACACTAAGGAATTTTTTCTCACCTAATATTCTTTCTAGTGATGAGCAATCATGTGCATGTAAAGATGCTATACTTTGAGGAAGCTCTGGTAGCGATTGAAGTTTATTGCAGTTGCTTAATGTAAGATGTCTCAACATAGAAAGTTGTTTGATGGTTCCAGGTAAGCTCTTAAAGTCATTGCCGCTTAGATCTAAACATTTTAATGACAATAAGCAGTCAATGTCTTCAGGGATTTCCTTTATATGTAAACTGCTTAGTTCTAGACTGCTTAAAAATTGGAAATCTATTAAAGAAGTAAGGTGTAGAGGCACTGGCTCTCGACTTTCAGATCCTGAAATGCATAAGTATGTTAGGTGGTTTGAATCTGTCGAGGTTGAAGGTAATTGTTTTATAGAAGTTTCACTAGCATCAAGAGATTTAAGAGATTTCAACTTCCAAATGTTAGGTGCAAGACTCTTAAGCCTTGTGCATTTATGCAACCACAACTCGCGAAGAGCAGGGAGACAGCCAATAGAAGCCGGATCTTCTTCGCTTGTCATATTCAAATATGAGTCGTCCACTTTCTCTGAAATTTCGGGAAGCATTGTGATATTTGTGCAGCCATTCAGATTTAGGATTTGGAGATGATTCAAATCCTGAATAGAGCTTGAAATATTCACAAGTCTCATGCAGTTTGACAAATTCAATTCCAGAAGGCTACAGATATGCTTAATCGATGATGGCACTTCTTTTATTCCAGTGCCATTCAAGTATAAATATTTTATATTCCTTGAGATCTCTGGAAATGTAGCCATTTTAGTACAGCCAAATAAATTTAGGAATTCAAGAGATCTCAAGTTGATGTTTCTTGGTAGACTCTTAAGCTTTATACAACCACTCAAATCCAAATGGGTAAGTTTGTTGAGATGTCCAATTGATGAGGGTATTTCAACTAGGCTTTTGCAGTACCTAAGAGTCATATCCTTAATATTCCTGGCTAATGAGAGATCTGGTAATTCCATCAAGTTCTTGCACCCAGCAAGATTCATCTTTTCTAAGTTAACAAGTTCCTGTAAAATAATTTAAAAAGAAAAATGATAACATATCTTAGAATCACAAAATATACTTCTAGTAAACAGACAAAACATAAGTCATGATTAACCATAAAAAAAGTTCCATGGAAGTTAAATAACTACTTTGGACAACAAATTGTCCAAAAACTTATTATTTTATATTATATTCTAGCTAATTATGAATAATATCAAAAAAGCTTTTCCTGAACCTTCATTTAAATATCTTCTACTCAGAAAATTAACAATTCAATTACTTGTGAAATCTGCCATTTTTGTTAAAAGAAGCACCATATTGAAATTATACCTGGGCTCCATACCAAAGTTGCTTAATCTTGCTCTTAGGTAGATAAAGTTCCACAAGGTACTCTGGACGAAACTTACATGGCAGAGATTTTAATGGAAATGCGTTCCAGTACAGATACCTCAGCTCCACAGGAAGCGATTTAAGACCACGTGGAAGGCACACTTTAGAGTTTTTTTTGCAGCTTCTATGATAAATCTTGAGGAATTTAAGATTGTACATTTTTGAAAAAGTCATTGGGCTTAACTTCATCTCTTCTACTTTTGATTCATCAAGGAATATGCCTCTTATTGTTTCAGTCCCCTGTATAAACAACATTTGGAGATTGTCATAAGCATAAAGGATAAAATATTGTTTACGTTTAAGCTTTTTAAGTAAGTGTTCAGCAGATTTCTTTCCTGGAACCACTAGAAATGATAGAGAATGATAGTGTTCAGCAGATTTCTTTCCTGGAACCACTAGAAATGATAGAGAATGATGTTAAGATATTTTGTTCTTACTGTATTTTTTGTCAATACATGATAGATGTCCTCGGGAGTCCACAACCGGCTTCTTTTTCCAGGCTCTATCTCAGATTCTTGGCGGACAATAGACCAACCCATTTCTTGCAACAAATCATGCATTTCTATCCTTTTATTTGAAACACTTATGAGAGATTTATCAATGAGAACATCTATTCCTGACAAGATAGAATGACCGTAACAGCCACCTAGAATTCTTTCAACATCATCTCTAAGCTGCCCTTTAAAGAAACATGCAATATCAAGAAATACATCGCTTGATTCTTTATCCAGTGCATCATAACTGACTTTAAGCACCTCCCGAATTTTCAGGTTAGGAACTAATTTCATCTTCCTCAGTGCACTCTCCCAGTGTCGTTCACTTTTATGACGAAGATAGGAGCCTAAGACTTTGAGCGCCAGAGGAATCCCATGAGCATAGTCTATAACCTTCATTGAAAGCTCAATATAAGATTTAGAAGGATTATCTTGATTAAATGCATATTGACAAAAAAGCTGGAAGGCATCATGATCATTCAACTTCTCTACATCATATATGTCTCCAATGTCATAAGAATTTAGTACTTGTTTATCCCTAGTAGTCACTATTACACGGCTTCCGGGACCAAATTTATCAAGCCCTCCAAACAAAAACTCTAGTTGTGCCAGATCATCCACATCATCAAGAACTATCAGTACTCTTTTACTCTGGAGCCTACTCTTGATAAAGGCACTTCCTATAGTGGGAGTGCATACACGTAAATTCTCTTCGTTTAAGACATTTGAAAGAAGTTCGTCTCTCAAACGAGGGAGGTCACCTCTCTTCTCTGCTTCCCGGAGTTTATTCAGAAAATAACAACTTTCAAAATGACTGGAAATTTTATTGAATACTGCCTCAGCAATGGTGGTCTTACCAATGCCACCCATTCCCCAAATTCCTACCATACGAAAGTCTGGTGATCGAATGCATACTAAAGAAATAACTTTACTGACTCGTGGATATATCCCAACCAAGCTTTCCTTTAGAACACTAGATGAAAGAAGATTCAATTTCTTCAAAATATCACTCACAATTTCATCAACGAGGATGGATTCAGGCCTGCAAGATGGAGGAGTTAATTGCAATAATCTGAAACAGACCAAGCACTTGAAGAGTGAATGTGCTTCATGTTTGACTAGACATTTTGGCATATGATGATAATTTGATCAACAACATCACAGATTCATGAAACTTAGAATGTATCATTCTAAAAATGAATATTCTACATTCCAATAGCATGCAACAAGAAGCCCTCAGGTAACTAGTTAAAAAGAAACGAAGCATGAAAACAGGACCTCTTACTTCTAAACAATTCTTGCATGCTAGCTCAAGTTGGATGGCAAATAATTCTCCAGTTGCATACATATCAACCATCAATGGGATATTTCATACATTGTATTGTCAGCATGATAAACTCTAATCAGTTGCATCAATAAGAAGAGCAAGTTAAAAGAGATACCTAACCACGGACGAGTCCCACCCAGATAGATTTGCTGCTTCTTTCAAAGCAGATCTCCAGCTCTGCTCCTGCTCACTGAAACGTTTTACAGCTTCAGAAAATATATCTCCAAAACGGCCAGATTGGTTGCGAACATGAGAGGGATCTACATGATAGAAGACTGGTATAACAATCTGTCCTTTTTCTTTCCTGCACTCAAGTATCTTTAGGAGTTCTTCCAAGCAGCATTTGGAAGAAGCATACTCTTTGGAGAAAACGATCACAGAGAGGTTAGAAGCTTCAATTGCTTTCAATATTGCAGGAGAGATCGCATCTCCTGTTTTGAGTTTATTACGTATGAAGGTTTGGATCTTTTTCCTACAAAGACCAGCATAGAGATGGCTAGTAAAGTTGTGACCAGTGTCTTCACTTCTAAAACTAATGAACACATCATTACTTGTTTGAGAGGCAAAGCAGCCGAAAGAAGATGAAGAATCATAAGCCATTTTGGGGATTTAGCAGATATTAAGCTGATCAGTTATTGAACTTAACCAGTGTTTTAGCTTGTTATTTCTCAGGGGGAACATATAAGCCTTTTCTGAAATCTTTAGAAAAAATGAAAGAGAGAACATGCCTCCCATATACAAAAGTTCCCTGAAGTTACTCAAAAAGTTTCTTTTTCTCCAATTTTCTTATGGCATTGACAAATTCGGCTGATTTGCCGGGTTCCCTAAGAATAAGTTAATGCCATGAATAATATAAGTTTGATATTCTAATTTTATATTATTCTGTTTCTTTCGTCTCCTGTAAGTCTGGGGTAAATTACGTATTTAGCCCTCAACTTTTGAGCCCATTTCTGAAGAGACTCAACTGGAAATAAGAAATTCTTAAACTGCAATTCATGCCTTTTGACTCAGAGAGGAGAGAAAAAAGAAGGAAGTTTCTTAAATGAAAAGAAAAATGCACATACAAACAACACATTCAGATTTCGTAATCCAAACAGTGAAAAAGAAAAGAGGAAAAAGGAAACAATACCTCCAACAAAGATTATCTTCTGTAATCCAAAATCCAGATCTCGCAATCATTCTTAAGATCTCAAACACCACAAAAACCAAGAAAATCCTTTTCTTTGATTCATGAATAGACTCAAATGGGTCTGGAGCTCCAAACTGACGAGCCAAACGAGAAGCGAAAGAAGGAACTGGAACTCCATTTCGCCTGGAACCAGAACGAACCAAACCCTCTAGTAGCTAGCTTTGATGAGAAGAAGGAATCAAACAGGATTGAATTGATCAGTATGGTATACACTACAGTCTTCTGTAATATTAATTTTTGAATATTTCTATGTATGTAAAATTATCATGTTGCCTCTTGAAAAAAAAATTGTTAAAATGAACAGATTTTTTACTGTGATGTGTTAGTCTGATACATATTAAAAATAAAATTATTTCTCTTGATTTAATTAAATTATTATATATCAATTTCAGTACATTTATTATATATAAATATAAGTAAAGTTAAAAATTAACAGACATCTATTATCATGGTAGTAAATAATTTATAATTAAAAAAAGTAAATAATACACTAGCTCTATTATGATATAAAAGTTTTCTTAATTCACGTAAATATAATTTCTTTTGAAGATGTAATATAAATGATACTCTTTGAATTCTAAAATAAATAATATTGATTAAATTAATTTGTATTAGAATATCTCCCTACACACTTTGACTTTTCAAACTTAAACTCTTAAGAAAGTTGCAAAATTACAAACTGAATCGACTGAAAAAACCAAATACTCACCTTGCGGAATCCAGAGTTGAATGAGAATAATACATTAAGAATGAAGTTACGAAGAAGACGATTGCAATAGTTATGTTCTAGATTTTAATTCACATTATATAAAAATATCATATTTTTTAATAAAAAATTTCGTCACCTCTGACACAAACAAATCATGCTTGATTTTAGAAGCAGTACAAGAAGAAGGAATCCATGTTTGAAATACAAGATAGAATAAGACTGCAAAATCCCCAGTGTGTATATATATATATATACATATGTATTAAGAATGATACACCACCTCTTGTCAAGGTGTCTTCTGTATTTTCTTGAAAGTTTCCTTCCTTCATTCTTAAAGAAATCCGGCTGGCATTTTGTTGTATGCCACAGGTTTTTGTCATCATTAACTCTTTTGTCCATCAAAATATGATCATCTGAAATCTGTGGAAACCGGAGATAACGTTTGTCTTACTTAGATACGTAGATATATGCAAGAATTCCTGAAGAATTAGTAGGTTTCACTACAAAGATGTAACCATAATCAGAATTTAAACTAAAACACTACGTGCATATGTGATCTAAAACGCTTCTATGGAATTTAACATAGGAATCCATAAAAAGTGTCGCAAAGAAAGTAATCACATCAGTACAAGATATAAACAGATTACAAGCTTATGGAGTCACATATTGTTAGCAGTTGAGTTTTTATTGAACAGTGATTGCTGAAGTTAAGAAATTATGATTATTTTTTCTTTATTCTACTTTAGTTAGTAAGTGGTAAATGAAAGGAATGGGTAAACATGTTTTGAAGCAAGAAAATCAGCAACTCTTGCTTCTCTTGATTAACAAAATAACGTGTTTTATTTGATTTTTTTGCTGACAGCTTGTATTTGCCGGAATAAAATATCTTTCCATAAAAAAGCTATATATATATATGTAAGGCTGATGAACTACAATATAGAGAATTCACTTTTCCAGAAGCTCTCTTTAACTCTGCTGTATTCTCTTCTGCATTTCCTCTATTTTTTTTTTTTTTCTCACTGCAGACTCACACATTTAGATTTAAATTTCTGTATTATTCTCTCTCTGTTTTGAAATTACAAACACAAGAACGATAAGCTTTTGCCTCCAACAATTGTATCAGAGCAGGATTCTTTAAGGGTCTTGAGTTGTGAGTAATCCAGATGCCTTCAAATATCAACTTGCCAACTCCACTAGTATTTACAGGGGAGAATTATGATTATTGGGCAGTGAGAATGGAAGCTTATCTTCTTGCTTATGATCTGTAGAGTGTTGTGGAGGAGTTTTGTACATAATAGTTCCATTACCCGAAAATCATTTCTTGTACATAATAGTTCCATTACCCGAAAATCATTTCCTACTGCAGATTAGGCAAGATGCAAAAGGGTCCATGAGGTTTTTCAAAACTCTTTCAATTCTTCATTTTGTAGAGTGTCTGATGACATATTCCCAAGGCTGGTGGCAAGACAGTCAAGAAAGCTTGGGATTATTTGAGGGAAGAATATACTGGGAGTGCTAAAGTGAAAATAGTAAAATTGTTGACTCTAAAAAAAGAAGTATGAGTTGTTGAGAATGCATGAGGGAGAGAGTATTAGAGAGTATTTTATAAGAGTTATGAATTTTATTAATAAAATAAGATTGCTTGGAGAAGAATTCAAAGATAAGAGAGTGGTTGAAAAAATTCTGATCAGTCTCCTTGATAAGTTTGAATCAAACCTGTCTGTGATCGAAAAAACATGCGATCTTGAGAAGTTTACTGTTGTTGAACTTATCAGTAAGCTATAGGCTCAAGAGCAGAAGTTTTCAATCAGAAATGATGAAATTATTGAAAATACTTTTCAAATAAGGCAGAGTCACAAGTTTGGGTCCTTAACTTTAAAAAATGAAGGTCAATCCTCAACGAGTAAAGGAAAGCAGCCAAAGAGTTAAGAAAATTCGTCATAAAAAGGAAAATATTCTCCTTGTGGAAGTTGTGATAAATCCAATTATCCTGAGAATAAGTGTTGAAAGAATGTACAATGCAAGATTTGCAAAAAATATGGTCATTCAGAGAATGTATATCGAAAGAGAAAAAATCAAACATCACAGCAAAAGAATGAGCATTAACAACAGCAGCAACTACTTCAGCAACAGGAAGTCTATTTTGTTGAGAACTATGAACAGCAGGAGAGTTATCTTTTCATGATGATTGAGGCATATTGTGTGACTGGAAGTGATTTCTGGTATGTTGACAGTGGATGCGCAAACTATATGACAAAGGATCGTATGTTGTTTAGCAACTTAGATGTTAATTGCAAAATTGAAGTAAAACTTGGCAATGAGACAGTTGTCGAACCTCAAGGAAAAGACTCAATACCAGTTCAAACTAAACAAGGTATCAAACTCATAACTAATGTACTCTTTATTTCTGTTTTAGAGCAAAATTTGTTGAGTGTTGCTCAAATGCAAAATAAGGATTATTCTATTTTATTAAAAAATAATTACTGTTTTATTTATGATCCTACAAATATGGTAGTAACAAATATTAAGAAAAATGAAAATAACTATATACTTGATCTGAAATATGCAAATCAACATGCTTTTATTGTCAAGGATAATTTGACCTGCTTGTGGCACAAAAGATTTACCAATGACGATGTTGACTCTTTGAAGTTTATGCAAAAGAGTAGGGATGTGCTTGTGATTAATCAACATTTTGGAATTGGGATAAAAAAAATTGAAGCAAAGGAGCTCATAGAAGATGCAGTTATTGTAGATTCAAGTTCCCAAAGTGCTCCTGTTGAAAAGGTTCAGTTTGATTCTGTAGAATTTGATAATCTAACTGCAGACACACCAAATACAAAAACCAAGTTACTGGCAGAAGATTATGAAAGGTGCAATTTGACAATCATTAAATCAATAAACTATGAAGAACTTGTGGCGTACAAGGAGTGGCAACTTGCTATGCAGGAGGAGATTTTTATTGAACAACCTCAGAGTTTTGTACTTGAGGGAAAGCCTGACATAGTATACAAGTTAAAGAAAGCATTGTATGACCTCAAGCAGCTGGTGCAGCGATTTAAACAATTGATGATGAAAAAATTTGCTATGTCATATCTTGGAGAGATTCTCGTGCAACATGGGAGGACTAAGCATATAAAAATTAAGTTTCATTTTTTGCACAAAGCTGAGAAGATCAAGAGATCCATTTGGAGCATTGCAAATCAGAGGAACAACTTGCTGACATCCTAACTAAAGCTTTGCCAAGGGAATAGTTTAAGAATTGAGAACCAAACTTGGGCTGTTCAAAAGAAAACTCAAGGAGGAATGTTAGCAGTTGAGTTTTTCTTGAACAGTGATTGCTGAAGTCAAGAAATTATGATTATTTTTTCTTTATTCTGCTTTAGTAAGTGATAGTTGAAAGGAATGGGGAAGCATGTTTTGAAGCAAGAAAATCAGCAACTTTTGCTTGTTTTGGTTGACAAAATGATGTGTTTTATTTGACCTTTTTGCTGACAGCTTGTATGTATTTTAGCAAAATATCTTCCCTTAAAAATGCTATATATATGTAAGGCTGATGAACTACTACAATATACAGAGTTCACTTTTTTAGAAGCTGTTTCTCACTCTGCTGTATTCTCTTCTGCATTTTTCTCTGCATTTTTTTGCTCTTTTTTTTTTTCACTGCAGACCCACGGATTCAGATTTAAATTTCTGTATTATTCTCTCTCAGTTTTGATCATAAATACAAAAACAGCAAGCTTCTTGTTTGGTCCCAATCAAAGCTTGAAGAAAACAGGAAAATACTTTCTGCTTAAGGCGAGAAAGAAACCAAAATCTGAGTTGAAATTTTTACTTGACATTCCATCTAAAATTGCAGGCTTTAAATAGCCAATAAACGATTACATGATAATGATATAGTCCTACATTTACGACATGAAAAATAAAAAGATAAGGATCGTAGTCACTTCCGTTGTGGGTGCACGTGTTGTTGACCCAGTCACGTTCCATCAAGATACTTTGTGTTCTTTGTAGGGACCCCTTGGGATCTACGGATCCTAACATCACTCCCTCCTTTTTGAGTGACATAGTCCTCAAGGTCAGGAAATTGGGTGATGATGTCAGAAGTGTTTTCCCATGTGGCATCTTCGGTGGACAGATTTTTCCAGTGGACCAAGCTTTGTTCTACAAATTTACCGCCTTTTTTCAGCCAATGTGTGTCCAGGATTTGATGTGGGTGGAATAAGATAGTACCTTCCTCGGTAATAGTGGGGAAATCCTTGATGGTGAAAACTGATTCGCCTACTTGCTTTTTGAGTAAGGACATATTGAAAACTGGGTGAATACGAGCCTCTGCCGGTAATTTGAGTTTATAGGCGACTGGACCAATGCGTCTCTCAACTTGGTAAGGTCCATAGTACTGACAAGCCAATTTCTGAAGGGCCCAGCAGAAGACAGTCTATTGGCGGTAGGGTTGTAACTTGAGAAAAACCCAGTCTCCTTCCTAGAATTCCAAGTGGCGTCTCTTGGTGTTGGCATAATGTTGCATGCTATTCTGGGCAGCATGGAGATTGGTTTTCAGTTGTTGCAATAATTCATTTCGCCCCAGTAACTGTTGATCTACTTCGTGGACCGAAGTCATCCCTGAATGATAGTACGGTATGGCGGGGGGAGGTCACCCGTAAAGAGCTTGAAAGGGAGTCATTTTGATGGCGGCATGATAAGTAGTATTGTACCAAAATTCTGCCCATGAAAGCAGTGAGCTTCATTTATTAGGTCGTTGGTGACCTAAACATCTCAGGTACTATTCGAGACATCGGTTGACTACCTCGGATTGGCCATCCGTCTGGGGGTAGTAAGTTGAGCTCATTTTTAGTTATGTGCCAACATTTTGAAAAATTCCTTCCAGAAGTGACTGACGAATATCGGGTCTCGACCACTGACTATAGTGCCGGGCATCCCATGTAGCTTAACTATTCCCTCTACAAATTTCTCAGCCACCGTCCTAGCTGTGTAGGGGTGAGCTAGTGCTAGAAAATGTGCAGATTTATTGAGGCGGTCGACTACTACCAGAATAGTGCTCTTGCCACTGGAGAGAGGTAAGCCTTCTATAAAATCCATCGTGATGTCTTCCCACACTTGGCATGGAATGGGTAAGGGTTAGAGGAGATTTGCAAGTACTAGTATCTCTGTTTTTATTCTCTAACAGGTTTCACAAGCGGACACATACTCTTAAACTACATTTTTTATAAATAACCAATGAAATTGCTGTGTCAATCTTTTGTAGGTGCAGAGGAGTCCGGAATGTCCCCCTAATGGTGAATCATGGTAAGACTGTAAAAGTTGTGATATCAGATGAGACTGAAGGGGTAGGACAACCCGATGCTTATAATAAATCAATTTATTTCTTGCGGTATAAGACCCACCCTTTTGCTCTTCTGCCAGTTTATTGAGCTTCTGCATATAGGGGTGTGTTTCTGTTTCTTTCCTGATGTCATCCCAAATCTGATTCTGATGGATGAATAGGGCATCCAGGGACAACCCTATAACGTTTCTGGAGAAGGCATCTACTGCTGCATTTTCTTTGTCTGGCTTATATGTGATCTCATAATCGTACCCAAATAGTTTGGATATCCATATTTGTTGTTCTGGAGTGGTGATCCGCTATTTGAGTAGGTATTTGAGACTGCAATGGTCTGTCTAAATAAAAAATTTTCTGCCCATCAGATATGATCTCCAAGTCTGTACTGCAATAACAACGGCTAACATTTCTTTGGCATAAGTGGACCAAGAGTGCTTCGCAACTCTCAAAGCTCTGCTTAAGTAAGCTAGGGTTTCCCTTGTTGACTGAGGACTGCTCCTATCCTGATTCCGAAGGCATCAATCTCAAAGGTTAATGGCTCACTAAAGTTAGGTAGAGCCAGTGTGGGGGTAGAGGTCATGGCTTGCTTCAAGCTTTTGAAGGCTGTCTTTGCTGTGCCGTTCCATTCAAACTGCCCTTTTTTAAGGAGCTGTGTCAATTGCCTGGCAATGAGCCCATAATCTTTTACAAATTTTCTGTAGTAGCCGATTAGCCCTAAAAATCTGCGGAGTTCTGTGACAGTGGTCGGGCTTGGCCAATCTAACATTACTTGAATCTTACTCTGATCAACTTGTACCCCATTCGGTGTAATGATGTGGCCCAAATATTCTAATTTTTGCTGGCCAAACACATATTTTTTGAGCTTGATAAAGAACCTGTTTTGCCTCAAAAGTTCAAAGACTTGTCGCACATGCACTAGGTGAGATTGCCAGTCAAGGCTATATACTAGAATATCATCAAAAAATACTAACACAAATTTGTGTAAGTATGGCTGAAATATGACATTCATAATAGCTTGAAAGGTAGATGGGGCATTGCAGAGTCCGAAAGGCATTACCAGATATTCGTAGTGGCCATTGTGAGTTTGGAACGCTGTTTTGTGGACATCCTCAGGGGTGGACTCTAATATGGTAATATTTGAATGTTAGATCCAATTTGGTGAAGCGAGTGGCACCATATAGCTCATCTAACATGTCATCGACCGTTTGAATAGGAAAACGGTCCTTGATGGTGACTGTGTTGAGTGCCTGGTAGTCGGTGCAGAACCTCCAAGTGTCGTCTTTCTTTCTGACTAACAAAACCGGGGATGAAAATGGAATAGAGCTGGGTCAGATGAGCCCGGAAGTAATCATCTCGTCTACTTGCTTTTCAATTTCGGCCTTTTGGAAATACGCGTATCGATATAGTCGAACATTGACTGGTTCACTTCCTTCCTTGAGGTTGATGTGGTGTGAGACTTCTCTAGCTGGGGGAAGTCGATCGGGCTCCTGAAAAAGACCCGAAAACTCAGCCAACAACTTCTGTAATTTTGGATTGGCAGTGGCAGAATCGGCTGTGCTGATGGAGAGCAAGCAAACTGCATACAAGTCGTTCACTAGCTTTCTTGTTGATCTCTTCTCGCGAAGCGGCCTGAATAGGAGGGGCATCAAGATCTCACAGAAGCTGCTTCTGACAGTTCCATTGGAATGCCATTGTGAACCTCTTCCAATCGCAGGTCACGATGCTGAGGTTTTCTAACAACTGGACACCCAAAACAACATCCAACCCCGTCAGTGGTAAAGAAAAGAGTGTAAGTGAAAAGGGGGTACCTTGGATTTGCAGGGCAACATTGTCAAACCGTCCTTGGTATTTCAAGGTGTTACCGTTGGCCACATTCATTGAAAACGGGGCTGTTGGAACGATTGGAAGCCGTAATCGGCTTGCTACCTTTTCACAAATGAAATTGTGCGTGGAGCTACTATCGATGAGAGCGACTACTTCCTGATGTCCGATGGTGGCGGCGACTCGCATGGTGCAAGCCGGTGTCCAACCTGTGAGAGCGTGCAAGGAGATTTTAAGCTCGGGACCATCTGCGTCTTCATCTTCTTCGCCACGTCCTTTAAGTAGCAGGAGCTGCGATTCGCGACAACGATGGCCAGCCGTGATGCGCTCGTCGCAGTTAAAGCACAACCCTTGAGATCTCCGTCATTGCATTTCTTTCCAGGTGAGCCTCTTGGGCATTGCGAGCATGGCGGCTAGGGTTCGCGGAAGAGGATCGGGTAAGGATGATAGGTGTTGGGTGCGTTGGGCTCTCCCGGGTCGGGTCAGTCGGCTTTGTCGACCCACCTACTCTTCCCGCATTCGGGCCAAGCCCATGGCGTCTCTGAGTGTCCTGGGCTTGAACATCCAAATCCCATCTGCTATCTAGAGCTTGAGCCCACCAATGAAGGCTCCAACTAGGGCCCGTTGAGGCCACCCATGGACTCTGTTGCCCAATTTTTCGAACTCCCTCTAGCAATCACAGATTGGGTCGGTCTGACGGATGTGGGCTAGAGCCTCATCAAAGTTTTCAAACTCGGTCGGCCCGAACCACATCCACAGCTCCTCTTCAAACCCGGTCCAGGTGAGTTCTCTTCCCTCTTCTTTGTAATTTTGGTTCAGCCATTGCGACCACTGATTGGCCTCTCCTTCTAGGTGGTAGGCTGCAAGAGACACTTTGTGTTGCCCGGTGGTGCCTTGATAGGAGAAGAATTGGCGGACCTGGCACAACCATTTAGTCGGATCACCCCCGGCGAAGACCAGGAACTCCAGCTTGGCGAGTTTGGAATAGAATAGGTTGCGGCTGTTCTCTTCGAGTTGTGGATTTGTGTCGTGGTTGGCAGGAGGCAAGCTGGGACGAAGGGGGTGGTAGCTACTAGAGCCCTCTCTGCCAGATGCGATGGAGTTGGTCAATCGTTGGATGGATTCTTCAAGCGCCCAAAATCGGTCGACCATTCCGATTTCCATTCGGCTTAAATGATCTTGCACTCCTCCGAGGCCAACCTCCAAATTCTGAATTCGTTCCTTGTTGGTCGACATAGTAACCTGCTCTGATACCAATGTTGGTCCCAATCAAAGCTTGAAGAAAACAAGAAAATACTTTCTGCTTAAGGCGAGAAAGAAACCAGAATTTGGGTTGAAATTTTTACTTGACATTCCATTTAAAATTGCAGGCTTTAAATAGCCAACAAGTGATTACATGATAATGATAAAGTCTTACATTTACGGCATGAAAAATAAAAGGATAAGGATCGTGGTCACTTCCGTTGTGGGGAGTTGTTGTTGTGGAGTGGAGCAGTTGTTCAGTTGAAAGTGGGTAAGTGACATTGTGGGGGGTTGCTGCTGTGGAGTGGAGCGGATCTTCCGTTGGAGGTAGATAAGTGAGACCGATTCTGTGGGTGCACGTGTTGTTGACCCAGTCATGCTCCATCAAGATACCTTAGGTTCTTTGTGGGGACCCGTTTGGGATCTATGGATCCTAACACTTTTGCCTCCAACATTCATCAGCATGAAGTAAATCATCCGCAAGAGATGAAATTGATCAAGGAATACCAATTGTTTCTTTATCTTCAACTCACCTAACTCCATGAATTTGATCTTTTCAATCGTTTTGGAGCAGGATACTTTTCCTCCTCATCAGAGTCTACTTGTTCTTGTTCTTGCTCCACAGCGTTTATTTCATCATCTGCCTTCTCAGTGTGTAGTATTTCTTCTTCATCATAATATAACTCATCTTCATCTTCAATATCTGCTTCCTCATCTTCCTCAGTATCTAGTTCATCTTCAAACTCTGTGTCTAGTTCTTCCTCTTCAGAGTCATAATAATCATAGTATGCATCATCAGATATACTATCAACTTCATTATCATCGTCCATTGGTGATTCCCAAAATTCTCTTGCATCATAGAGTAGACGAACCCCACAGCTTTTGACCTTGTAAGAGCTTAAAGATTTAACTCCACTCTCTACAATAGAGAACTTAAAGGAAACCTCTTCATAGTTCTCATCGGAACTTTCTTCGCTGAAACTTTCTTCAGCTGTCCTCATATACATTGATGTATCATACAAAAAGAACATATGCTCTGACTCAACAAATTTAGGCCGATCCCTAAATTTTGGCCATGGTTTAAATCTGCAACAGAGATCATAGCATTCACCATCTTTGTTTTCTAAATGATAATCACATATGATGCTTAAATTGAAACCATCAAAGTAGCCATCAAATTCGGCCACAATGCAGAGAGCAAAACCAAAAAACTTGCTATTGAACCAATGGGGAGATAGCTGGATGGTTATTGAAGACGTGTTGCTTTTATGGTTGAACCAGTCTGAAATTTCACTTCCCGGTAAACAGATAGCAACTTGACTTGTTCCAAACTGTGCCAACAAGATGTCAGAAATTAGTGCATTTTTCAGAATGAAATGAAAGAATCCTATGCATGTAGATTGGTTATTTATATACCATAAGATAATATGTCGTAAAAGTATCATGAAACAATCTGTGAAGAAAGCAGAGATGCTTGGATCTAGTATATAACTTGTTTATAAACTAGAATAACATGCAAGGAAGCATGAAACAATGAATTAGAGAAAGATATGAGACCTCATCTTCTTCATCACTTTCCATCAGATGCTGAATTCTAAACTGTACATTAGCCACAATGGTCTTGTATTCATTTTGATTCAATTTGAAGCAATTACTGAATATGTAGCTCCCCTCACCTCCAATCCTCGGGAATTTTTGCTCACCTAATATTCTTTCTAGTGACGAGCAATCATGTGCATGTAAAGATGCTACACTCGGAGGAAGCTCTGGTAGCAATTGAAGTCTATTGCAGTTGCTTATTGTAAGATATCTCAACATAGAAAGTTGTTTGATGCTTCCAGGTATGCTCTTAAAGTCATTGCTACTTAGATCTAAACTTTCTAATGACAATAAGCAGTCAATGTCTTCAGGGATTTCTGTTATATGTAAATTGCTCAGTTCTAGACTTGTCAAAAATTGGAAATCTATTAAAGAAGTAAGGTGTAGAGGCACTGGCTCTCGACCTTCGCATCCTGAAATGCATAAGTATGTTAGGTTGCTTGAGTCTTTCAAGATTGATGGTAATTGTTCTATAGAAGTTTCGGTAGCATAAAGAGATTCAAGAGACTTCAACATTAAAATGTAAGGTGGGAGACTCTTAAGCCTTGGGCATTTATGCAACCACAACTCGCGAAGTGCAGAGAGACAACCAATAGAAGCCGGATCTTCTTCGCTTGTCATATTCAAATATGAATTGTCCACTTTCTCTGAAATTTCGGGAAGCATTGTGACATTTGTGCAGCCATTCAGATTTAGGACTTGGAGACAATTCAAACCCTGAATAGAGCTTGAAATATTCACAAGTCTCGTGCAGTTTGACAAATTCAATTCCAAAAGGCTAGATATATGCTTAATCGATGATGGCACTTCTTCTATTCCAGTTCCATTCAAGTATAAATATTTTATATTCCTTGAGATCTCTGGAAACGTAGCCATTTTAGTGCAGCCAAATAAATTTAGGAATTCAAGAGATCTCAAGTTGATGTTTGTTGGTAGACTCTTAAGCTTTATACAGCCACTCAAATCCAAATGGGTAAGTTTGTTAAGATGTCCAATGGATGAGGGTATTTCAACTATGCTTTTGCAGTGCCTAAGAGTCATATCCTTAATATTCGTGGCTAATGAGAGGTCTGGTAATTCTATCAAATTCTTGCACCCGGCAAGATACATCTTTTCCAAGTTGACAAGTTCCTGTAAGAGAATTTGGAAAAACAAAAAATGATAGTGTACATTAGAATCACAAAATATATTTCTATTAAACAAACAAATCTTAAGTCATGATTAACCATAGAAAAGTTTCATGGAAGTTAAATAATTACTTTGGACGGCCAAATATCCAAAAACTTAGTATTTTTATATTATATTCTCACTACTAATATAAAAAAAGCTACTTTCCTGAACCTTGATTTAAATATCTTCTACTCAGAAAATTAACAATTCAATTACTTGTGAAATCTTCCATTTTTGTTAAAAGAAGCATAATATCGAAATTATACCTGGGTTCCACTCCAAAGTTGCTTAATCTTGCTATAAGGTAGATAAAGTTCCACAAGGTACTCTGGACGAAACTTACATGGCAGAGATTTTAATGGAAACGCATCCCAGTACAGATACCTCAGCTCATCAGGAAGCAATTTAAGACCACGTGGAAGGCACACTTTAGAGTTTTTTTGGTAGCTTTCATGATAAATCTTGAGGAATTTAAGATTATACATTTTTGAAAAAATCATTGGGCTTAGCTTCATCTCTTTTACTTTTGATTCATCAAGGAATATGCCTCTAATTGTTTCAGTCCCCTGTATAACAACATTCGGAGATTGCTATAAGCATAGATGGTAAAATATTGTTTATGTTTAAGCTTTTTAAGTGTTCAACAAAAGTGAATTTCTTTCCTGGAAAACTACAAATGATAAGAATGATGTTAAGATATTTTGTTCTTACTGTATTTTTTGTCAATACATGATAGATATCCTCAGGAGTCCACAACCGACTTCTTTTTCCAGGCTCTATCTCAGATTCTTGGCGGACAACAGACCAACCCATCTCTTGCAACAAATCATGCATTTCTATCCTTTTATTTGAAACACTTATGAGAGATTTATCGATGAGAACATCTATTCCTGACAAGACAGAATGACCATAACAGCCACCTAGAATTCTTTCAACATCATCTCTAAGCTGCCCTTTAAAGAAACATGCAATATCAAGAAATATATTGCTTAAATCTTTATCCAGTGCATCATAACTGATTTTCAGCACCTCCTGAATTTTCAGGTTAGGAACTCTTTTCAGCTTCCTCAGTGCACTCTCCCAGTGTTCTTCACTTTTATGACAAAGATTGGAGCCTAAGACTTTGAGCGCCAGAGGAATCCCATGAGCATAGTCTATAACCTTCATTGAAAGCTCAATATAAGATTTAGATGGATTATCTTTTTTAAATGCATGTTGACAAAAGAGCTCGAAGGCATGATGATCATTCAACTTCTCTACATCGTATATGTCCACAATATCATAAGAATTTAATATTTGCTTATCCCTAGTAGTTAAGATTACACGACTTCCTGGACCTAATTTATCAAGCCCTCCAAACAAAAATTCTAATTGTGCCAGATCATCCACATCATCAAGAACTATGAGCACTCTTTTACTCTGGAGCCTACTCTTGATAAAAGCACTTCCTATAGTGGGAGTGCATACACGTAAATTCTCTTCGTTTAAGACATTTGAAAGAAGTTCGTCTCTCAAACGAGGGAGGTCACCTCTCTTCTCTGCTTCCCGGAGTTTATTCAGGAAATAACAACTTTCAAAATGACTTGAAATTCGGTTAAATACTGCCTCAGCAATGGTGGTCTTACCAATGCCACCCATCCCCCAAATTCCTACCATACGAAAATCTGGTGATCCAATGCATAATAAAGAAATAACTTTACTGACTCGTGGATATATCCCAACCAAGCTTTCCTTTAGAACACTTGAGGAAGCAAGATCCAATTTCTTCAAAATATCACTCACAATTTCATCAACAAGTATGGATTCAGGCCTGCAAGATGGAGGAGTTAATCACAGTAATCTGAAACAGACCAAGGACTTGAAAAGGGAATATGCTTCATGTTTGAGGAGACATTTTCGCATATGATGATAATTTGATCAACAACATCACAGATTTATGAAACTTAGAATGATATTTTAAAAACGATAAACGTACACTCTAAAAGTATGCAATAAGAAAAACCTCGGGTAACTACTTAAAAAGGAAAGAAGCATGAAACCAGGAATTCTTACTTCTAAAAAATATTTGCATGCTTGCTCAAATTGAATGACAAATTATTCTCCAGTTGCATGCATAACCATCAATGAACTATTTCATACATAGTATTTTAGCATGATAAACTCTAATCAGTTTGCATCAATAGGAAGAGCAAGTTAAAAGAGACACCTAACCATCGACGAGTCCCAACCAGATAGATTTGTTGCTTCTTTCAAAGCAGACCTCCAGCTCTGCTCCTGCTCACTGAAATGTTTTACAGCTTCAGAAAATGCTTCTCCAAAATTCCCAGATTGGTTGCGAACATGAGAGGGATCTACATGATAAAAGACTGGTACAACAATCTGTCCTTTTTCTTTTCTGCATTCAAGTATCTTTAGGAGTTCTTCCAAGCAGCATTTGGAAGAAGCATACTCTTCTGAGAAAACGATCACAGCGAGCTTAGATGCTTCAATTGTTTTCAATATTGCACGGGAAATCTCATCTCCTCTCTTGATTTTATTACAAATGAAGGTTTGGATCTTTTTCCTACACAGACCAGCATAGAGATGGCTAGTAAAATTGTCACCAGTGTCTTCACCTCTAAAACTAATGAACACATCATTACTTCTTTGAGAGGCCATGCATCTGAAAGAAGTTGAAGAATCATTAGCCATTTTGGGGATTTAGCAGATATCAAGCTGATCAGTTATTGAATTTAACCAGTCTTTAGCTTGTTATTTCTCAGGTCAACATATAAGCTTTATCTGAAATCTTAATAAAAAAAATGAAAGAGGGAACATGCCTCCCATATGCAAAATTTCCCTGAAGTTGCTCAAAAGGTGCTTTTCTCCAATTTTCTTAAGGCATTGACAAATTCTGCTGATTTGCCGTGTTGACCTAGAGAGAGTTAATGCCATGAATAATATAATCATCTACATAAGTTGACATTCCAATACTAGTTGGTAAGCGCCGCTAATTTTATAATATTCTGTCTCTTTCTTCTCTTATCAGTTGGGCTAAATAGCATATTTAGCCCTCACCTTTTGAAGCCATTTGTAAAGCATCATATATTTTGACACCTAGAGAAGGGGAAAAAGAAGAGAGAAGGAAGTATTTTAAATGAAAAGAAAAATGCACACACAAACAGTGAAAAAGAATAGAGGAAAAAGGAACTAATACCTCCAACAAAGATTATCTTCTGTAATCAAAGATCCAGAATTGCAGCTTCATAATCATTCTTGATAGATCTCAACACCACAAAAACCAAACAAACCCTTTTCTTTGATTCATGAACTAAATGGGTCTGGAGCTCCAAATTGACGAGTAAAATTAGAAGCGAGAGAAGGAAGTGTAAGCCCATTTCGCCGGGAACCAGAATCGAACCAAACCCTCTAGTAGCTAGCTTTGATGATAAGAAAGAATTAAGCAGGATGGAATTAATCAGTATGGTACACTCCAGAAGTTTTTGTAGTTTGAATTGTCATAATTACTTATATATATTGTTTTAATTTCCTGAAATCATTTCAATTAATTTAAGATTCATAGTGTTATAGCAGATAAACAATATAACATATGGTAGCAATAATAAGAATCTTTCAAAGCTCAAAAGTATTGCTCTCCCTTGCTTTGTAAGGGTATTAAATTTAAAAATGTGCTAACTACCCAGCAAACTAAAGATAAAAAATTAAGAACAGCCCAATAATAATCCATCATACAACAAAATTACAAGTGTGGTGAAAGAATAGCAAGAGAAATGATAGTGGACTTAGAAGATGCAGAAGCATCGGAAGTAAGTTGAGTAGGAGGCATTGGGCGCCTTGGTGGTGATGCGATGGTGAGTTGAATCCTCTGGTCAGCTTCACAGTGACCTGGAAAACCACACATGAAGTAATAGTTACCAAGCTTTTTTAATGTAATCCTGTCTGATCCCGCCGTGTAACTGGTGATCGGAGACGACGCCTTGCATGTCTTGAAATCTTGCTCGCTCACTCGCTTCAGGTCGTCAAATTTATTGTTATACTCAAATACAGGACCATATAATATTTTTTTCAGTATAAATTTTGATATTTCCATATTCATATAACAATATTTATCAACAAAAACACTAAATAAATTAACATATTTATGAAAAAGAAATCAACAAATCAAAGTAAAATAGATAAAAGGAAGAGATCCCTAATGGAAAAGCTTTTGGTCGAATAATAAAAATACCTCAAAATAATTCAAGTTAATTAAACATAATTTTATTAAATAGAAATGAGTGATGAGAATATAAAAAATAAAATGGAAATAGAGGTTTAGAATTATTTGGTATTATTGAATTTAATAAAAAATGTTTCCTTCGTTATTTTGTTGAAAGTTTCCTTCTTTCATGCTTAACGATATCTGACTGGCATTTTGTTGCATGCCACAGGTTTTTGTCATCATTAGCTCTTTTGTCCGTCGAAATATGATCATCTGAAGTCTGTGGAAACAGGAGATAATGTTTGTCTTATGCAGATACGTAGATACATGCAAGAATCCCTGAAGAATCAATAGGTTTTGCTACAAAGATGTGATCATAATAAGAATTTAAACTAAAACACACGTGCATATGTGATCCAAAAAGCTTCTATGTAATTTAACATAGGAATCCATTAGACGTGTCGCAAAGAAAGTAATCACGTCAGTACAAGTTATAAACAGATTACAAGACTATAAAGTAGATCATCCACAAGAGATGGAATTGATCAAGGAATACCAAGTGTTTCTTTTGCTCCCGTCTCCCTAACTCCATGAATTTGATCTTTTCAATCGTTTTGGAGCAGGATACTTTTCCCCCTCGTCAGAGTCTACTTGTTCTTGCTCCCCAGCATCTGCCTTCTTGGTGTTTAGTATTTCTTCTTCGTCATCATATAGCTCATTTTCATCTTCAATATCTGCTTCCTCATCTTCCTCAGCATCTAGTTCATCTCCAAACCCTGTGTCTAGTTCTTCCTCTTCAGGGTCATCATACCGATAATATGCATCATCAGATTTACTATCAACTTCATTATGATCCTCCATTGTTGGTTTGCAAAAATCTTTTGGATAATAGAGTAGACGAACCCCACAGCTTTTGATCTTGCAAGAGCTTAAAGATTTAACTCCACTCTCTACGATAGAGAACTTAAAGGAAACCTCTTCATAGTTCTCATCAAAACTTTCTGTGATGAAACTTTCTTCAGCTGTCCCCATATACATCGATGTATCATACAAAAGGAACATATGCTCTGATTCAACAAATTTAGGTCGATCCCTAAATTTTGGCCATGGTTTAAATCTGCAACAGAGATCATAGCACTCACCATCTTTGTTTTGTAAATGGTAATCACCTATGATGCTTAAATTGGACCCATCAAAGTAGCCCTCAAATTCAGCCACAATGCTGAGAGCAAAACCAAAAAACTTGCTATTGAACCAATGGGGAGATAGCTGGATAGTTATTGAAGATGTGTCGCTTTTATGGTCGAACCAGTCTGAGATTTCACTTCCTGGTAAACAGATAACAACTTGACTTGCTCCAAACTGTGCCAACAAGATGTCAGAAATTAATGCATTTTTTTCAGAATGAAATGAAAGAATTCTATGCACATAAGTTGGTTCGTTTATATACCATAAAGATAATATGTTGTAAAGTATCACGAAACAATCTATGAAGAAAGCAGAGATGCTCTGGTCTAGTATGTAACTTGTTACTACAATAATATGCAAGGAACCATAAAACAGTTAATTAGAGAAAAGAAATGAGACCTCATCTTCTTCGCCATTTTCCATCAGATGCTGAATTCTAAACTGTACATTAGCTACAATGGTCTTGTATTCATTTTGATCCAATTTGAAGCAATTACTGAATATGTAGTCTCCCTCACCTCCAATCCTAAGGAATTTTTGCTCACCTAATATTCTTTCTAGTGACAAGCAATCATGAGCATGTAAAGATGCTATACTCTGAGGAAGCTCTGGTAGCCATTGAAGTCTATTGCAGTTGCTTAATGTAAGATATCTCAACATAGAAAGTTGTTTGATGCTTCCAGGTATGCTCTTAAAGTCATTGCTGCTTAGATCTAAACTTTCTAATGATAATACGCAGTTAATGTCTTCAGGGATTTCCGTTATATGTAAATTGCTCAGTTCTAGACTTGTCAAAAATTGGAAATCTATTAAAGAAGTAAGGTGTAGAGGCACTGGCTCTCGACTATTGCATCCTGAAATGCATAAGTATGTTAGGTGGCTTGAATCTTTCAAGATTGATGGTAATTGTTCTATAGAAGTTTCAGTAGCATCAACAGATTCAAGAGATTTCAACTTTAAAATGTCAGAGGGGAGACTCTTAAGCCTTGTGCATTTATGCAACCACAACTTGTGAAGCGCGGAGAGACAGCCAATAGAAGCCGGACCTTCTTCATATGACTCGTCCACTTTCTCTAAAATCTCTGGGAGCATTGTGATATTTGTGCAGCCATTCAGATTCAGGACTTGGAGATGATTCAAATTCTGAATAGAGCTTGAAATATTCACAAGCCTCGTGCAGTTTGACAAATTCAATTCCATAAGGCTAGATATATGCTTAATCGATGATGGCACTTCTTTTACACTAGTTCCATTCAAGTACAAATATTTTATATTCCTTGAGATCTCTGGAAATGTAGCCATTTTACTGCAGCCAAATAAATTTAGGAATTCTAGAGATCTCAAGTTGATGTTTGTTGGTAAACTCTTAAGCTTTATACAACCACTCAAATCCAAATGGGTAAGTTCGTTGAGATGTCCAATGGATGAGGGTATTTCAACTATGCTTTTGCAGTGCCTAAGAGTCATATCCTTAATATTCGTGGCTAATGAGAGGTCTGGTAATTCTATCAAGTTCTTGCACCCGGCAAGATATATCTTTTTCAAGTTGACAAGTTCCTGTAAAAGAACACATGTTAGAATCACAAAATATACTTCTATTAAACAGACAAAACCTAAGACATGATTAACCATTTAAAAGTTTCATGGAAGTTAAATAATTACTTTGGATAACCAGTTGTCCAAAAACTTATTATTTTTATATTATATTCTAGCTGATAATGAATAATATCAAAAAAGCAACTCTCCTGAACCTTGATTTAAATGTCTTCTACTCAGAAAATTAACAATTCAATTACTTGTGAAATCTGCTATTTTAGTTAAAGGGCATAATATTGAAAATTATACCTGGGCCCCATTCCAAAGTTGCTTAATCTTGCTATAAGGTAGATAAAGCTCCACAAGGTACTCGGGACAAAACTTACATGGCAGAGATTTTAATGGAAATGCATTCCAGTACAGATACCTCAGCTCATCAGGAAGCAATTTAAGTCCACGTGGAAGGCACACTTTGGAGTTTTTTTGGCAGCTTCCACGATAAATCTTGAGGAATTTAAGATTGTACATTTTTGAAAAAGTCATTGGACTTAACTTCATCTCTTTTACTTTTGATTCATCAAGGAATAGACCTCTAATTGTTTCAGTCCCCTGTATAAACAACATTTGGAGATTGTCATAAGCATAAATGGTAAAATATAGTTTACTTCTAAGCTTTTTAAGTAAGTGTTCAGCAAAAGCGATATTTTTCCTGAAAACACTACAAATGATAAAAATGATGTTATGACACTTTGTTCTTACTGTATTTTTTGTCAATACATGATAAATGTCCTCGGGAGTCCACAACCGGCTTCTTTTTCCAGGCTCTATGTCAGATTCTTGGCGAACAATAGACCAACCCATCTCTTGCAACAAATCGTGCATTTCTATCCTTTTGTTTGACACAGTTATGAGAGATTTATCAACGAGAAGATCTATTCCTGACAAGACAGAATGACCATAACAGCCACCTAGAATTCTTTCAACATCATCTCTAAGCTGCGCTTTAAAGAAACAAGCAATATCAAGAAATATATCACTTGATTCTTTGTCCAGTGCATCATAACTGATTTTCAGTACCTCCTGAATTTTTAGGTTAGGAACTATTTTCAGCTTCCTCAGTGCACTCTCCCAGTGTTCTTCACTTTTATGACGAAGATAGGAGCCTAAGACTTTGAGTGCCAGAGGAATTCCATGAGCATAGTCTATAGCCTTCATTGAAAGCTCAATATAAGATTTAGATGGATTATCTTTTTTAAATGCATGTTGACAAAAGAGCTCGAAGGCATGATGATCATTCAACTTCTCTACATCATATATGTTTGCGATGTCATAAGAATTTAGTACTTGTTTATCCCTAGTAGTTACAATTACACGACTTCCTGGACCAAATTTATCAAGCCCTCCAAACAAAAACTCTAATTGTGCCAGATCATCCACATCATCAAGAACTATGAGCACTCTTTGACTCTGTAGCCTAGTCTTGATAAAAGCACTCCCTAAAGTGGGAGTGCGTACACATAAATTCTCTTCGTTTAAGACATTTGAAAGAAGTTCATCTCTCAAACGAGGTAGGTCACCTCTCTTCTCTGCTTGCCGGACATCATTCAGAAAATAACAACTCTCGAAATGACTGGAAATTTGATTGAATACTGCCTCAGCAATGGTGGTCTTACCTATGCCACCCATCCCCCAAATTCCTACCATACGAAAGTCTGGTGATCCAATGCATAATAAGGAAATAACTTTACTAACTCGTTGATATATCCCAACCAAGCTTTCCTTCAGAAAACTTGAGGAAAGAAGATTCAATTTCTTCAAAATGTCACTCACAATTTCATCAAGAAGCACAGATTCGGGCCTGCAAGATGGAGGAGTTAATCGCAGTAATCTGAAACAGACCAAGCACTTAAAAAGTGAATGTGCTTCATGTTTGAGGAGACATTTTGGCATATGATGATAATTCGATCAACAACATCACAGATTCATGAAGCTTATGGAATAATATTTTAAAAATGAGAAAGGTCCATTCATAAAGTACGAAGAAAAACCTCAAGTAACTACTTAAAAAGGAAAGAAGCATGAAAACCTGACTTCTAAACAATACTTGCATGCTTGCTCAAGTTGGATGGCAAATTATTCTCCAGTTGCATGCATATCAACCATCAACAGGGTATTTCAGAAGTTGTATTTTCAGCATGATAAACTCTAATCAGTTGAATCAATAGGAAGAGCAAGTTAAAAGAGATACCTAACCACTGATGAGTCCCAACCAGATAGATTTGCTGCTTCTTTTAAAGCAGACCTCCAGCTCTCCTCCTGCTCACTGAAATGTTTTACAGCTTCAGAAAATGCATCTCCAAAACTGCCAGATTGGTTGCGAACATGAGAGGGATCTACATGATAAAAGACTGGTATAACAATCTGTCCTTTTTCTTTCCTGCACTCAAGTATCTTTAGGAGTTCTTCCAAGCAGCACCTGGAAGAAGCAAACTCTTTCGAGAAAACGATGACAGAGAGCTTAGAAGTTTCAATTGCTTTCAATATTGCAGGAGAAATCCCATCTCCTGTTTTGAGTTTATTACATATGAAGGTTTGGATCTTTTTCCTACACAGACCAGCATAGAGATGGCTAGTAAAATTGTCACCAGTGTCTTCACTTCTAAAACTAATGAACACATCATTACTTCTTTGAGAGGCAATGCAACCAGAAGAAGGTGAAGAATCATAAGCCATTTTGGGGATTTAGCAGATATTAAGCTAATCGGTTAGTGAATTTAACTAGTTTTTAGCTTGTTATTGCTCAGGTCAGCATATAAGCCTTGTCTGAAATCTTTAAAAAAAATGAAAAAGAGAACATGCCTCCCATATACAAAAGTTCCCTGAAGTTACTCAAAAAAGTTTCTTTTCTCCAATTTTCTTATGGCATTGACAAATACTCGTGATTTGCCGAGTTGCCTAAGAGAAAGTTAATGCCATGAATACGATAATCATCTACAGAAGTTTGATATTCCAATACTAGTTGGTCAACCGCTAATTTTATAATATTCTGTCTCTTTCTTCTCTTATCAGTGTGAGCTAAATGGCATATTTAGCCCTCAACTTTTGAGGCCTTTTCTAAAGTTATAGACTTCACCGAAAATACGAAATTCTCAAACTGCACATCATATCCTTTGACACTCAAGAGAGGGAGAAAAAAGAAGAGAGAAAGAAGGAAGTTTCTTAAATGAAGAAAAAAATGCACATGCAAACAACACAATTCAGATTTCGTAATCCAAGCAGTGAAAAAGAAAAGAGGAAAAAGGAAATAATACCTCCCACGAAGAATATCTTCTGTAAATCAAAATCCAGATTTCGTAATCATTGTTATTGAGATCTCAACACCACAAAACCAAGCAAACCCATTCATGAACTAAATGGGTCCGGAACTCCAAATTGACGAGTAAAATGAGAAGCGAGAGAAGGAACTGCAACTCCATTTCACCCAGAACCAGAATCGAATCAAACCCTCTAGTAGCCAGCTTTGATTAAAAGAAAGAATTAAACAAGATGGAACTGATCAGTATGGTACACTACAACCTTTGCACTCCAGAAGTTTTTGTAGTTTGAATTCTCATAGCTAATTATATATACTGCTTTAATTTCGTGAGATCATGTCAATTAATTTAAGATTTATAGCATTATAGCAGATTTAAGAATATATACTATATCGTAGCCGTAGAAAGGATTTTTGCCAAAACATGCAATTCAGATACAACAACAATTACTTTTGCTCGTTTCTGTCATATTGTTTTGATAGTTATTGTTCACGAAGAAAAATAATATTACTAAAAATTATTCTTTAAAAGAAAAACTTATAACGTATAATATGAGAATTCGATATGTGAACAAATATGAATCCTTAAAATTGTGGTGGGACATATTTTCTTTATGGTATAAATTTCAAAGAATGGGGCCGTTTAGAAGAATATGGTCTTCTGTTGTTATGGAATTCGCATTTTAGTTGGATCATTTTTTATACGTTAAATTTAATATTTATTTATTTTTTTAAATAATAGGTAAAATTATTTATTAATTTTTTAAGTAATAAATAATTCATATTAACTAATAATTTTAATAAAAGATAAACGTTAAATTAATTTAACAATTAAAGGGTATTAAATTTAACAATATGCTAATTAACTAGCAAAACTACAGATAGAAAGTTAAAAACATCCCAATAATAATCCATCATTAAACAAAATTACAAGTGCGGTGAAAGCAATAGCAAAAGAAAAGGTAGTGAATTCAGAAGATGCAGAAGCATCAGAAATAAGTTGAGTAGGAGGCATCGGACGCCTTGGTGGCTGTCCAACGACGAGTTGAATCCTCTGGCCAGCTTCACAATGACCTTGAAAACCACACAAGAAGTAATAGTTGCCAAGTTTTTTTAGCGTAACGGTGTCGGATCCCGTCGTGTGAGTAGCGATTGGAGATGTTGCGTTGCATGTCTCAAAATCTTGCTCGCTCACTTGCTTCACGTTGTGAAATTTATTGTTGTAATCAAATACTGTATCATACAATATTTTTTTTAATATAAATTTTCATATTTCAATATTTATATAAATAATATTTATCAATAAACATGCTAAACAAATTAACTTGTTTATTTAGAGAAAAAAAAATCCAATAAATAAAAGTAAATTAGATATATACCAAGAGAATCGCCAACAATAAAGTTTTTGCTGGAAACCCAAGTTTGATAATCGACATGGCCAATGGTCCAGCCAGCAGAGTCACCAACATTATAGACGGCACCAAGAAAGACTCCATGTAGAGCCATGGCGACTAGCAACAAGGTCATTGTCTTAGCTAAAGCCGCCATGTTTTTAAGTAATAAGTAAGAAAAATTACAAGTTGTCACACACAGAAATATATGTTAGTTTATATTAAGAATAATTAATATATTTAATTGTAACCATTTTTATTTCTTTTTTCTTTTATCCATTGCCCACGTACCAGTGCTTGTATGTTCTCCTACTGTATGTTTTCCTGTTTTTTTTTGTTTTCTTCTGTTACGGTATTCCCTGTGCCTTCCATTCTATTTCATTTTGGTTTTCTTCTGTTATGGTGTCATTGCTGATGGCTATATATATTATGTAAGCTGCAAACGTATTGTATTGAATAAAAAACATTTCCTTTTTACTTACTCTTAGGTTCATTTTGCTCTGCTCCTTTCTGTCAAATTTTCTATCATGGTATCAGAGCCTTAACCCTTTAACCAACATCTTTTTGCTCAGTAGTTGAGCTACAAAACACTTGATCTCCAATGGCTAGAGATCAGTCTGATGACCTCCAAAATCCATTCTTCCTTCACAGCGCTGACCACCCCGGTTTAGTTTTGGTATCCAATCTTCTCAACGGGAACAACTACAACACATGGGAGAGAGCAATCAGGATAGCACTAACAGCTAAAAATAAGTTGGGATTCATAGACGGAACCCATGATCAACCAAGCAGCACCGACCCCCATGTCGCAGCTTGGTCACGTTGTAATAGTATGGTGGTTTCTTGTTGCTGAATGCTGTCACCAAGGAGATAGCTGACAGCTTGTTATATCATTGAAGTGCACAATCCATCTGTACCGATTTACAGCTCCGTTATCAGCAGAGTAATGCACCCCGTATTTATCAATTGAAGCAGAGCTTGAACAATCTTACTCAAGGATCACTCAGCATCAACACATACTACACATGAATGAAAACAATCTGGGATGAACTCAAAACCTTCCAACCAGTTCTAAGCTGTCACTGCGGAAACATGAAGGCGTGGAATGATTATTAGGAACAAGAGTTTATAATGACTTTCTTAATGGGATTAAATCCCTCCTATGCTGCTGTTAGAGCCCAAATTTTGATGATGGAATGCTCTCCATCCATTTTGAAAGTCTTCTCATTGGTGGTGCAGGAGGAACGACACCGTGCAATCGGGTTCGACTCACACGCAGAAACAGGTCATGGTTCCGCACCCTCTGTTGCCCTAACTCAAGGAAGAAGGAGACCCATTTGTTCACACTGTGGGCTTGTGGGCCACACTGTGGACAGATGTTACCGCCTACATGGATACCCACCGGGCCTCAAGCCCAAGCCCAAAACACGTTTTAATGATGGAACTGTGCAGGCCCAAAAACAGACCCACAATGCTCCAGCTGTCTTTGATGAGGGGTCTGCCCAAACGCGGGCCCAAAGCCCGTAACCCACCAGCTATCTCTCGGCCCATTCATGGAACTAGTTTTTTCAACCCGCCTGGCCCTCAATCCAAGCCCAGGTTCTTTTCAGCCAACCATACCTTGGCCCATGAAGTTTCATCCTCCTCGAGCATGCACCCGACCACAAGACAAGTGCAGAATTTTTTCAACTCTCTCGACAACTGCTTACTGGGATCTCATCCCACTGCTTCTGTCGATAACTTAAGCACATCGCAAATTCAGAACATTATTGCTCACCTAAGTGCACGCCTCCACCAATCCAACACCGCCATCATGCCTGACACTCTATCTTTGTCCACAAGTCATACCACCCTTGACCCTCACGCGGCAGGTATATCCTACACACCCTTTTGTCTTTCCAACTTCACACACACACTTACCTCTGAATACTGGATCATTGACTCTGGAGCCACACATCATATTTGTTGTACACCCACATTTTTCACACACCTTAAACTTGTGCATCCCATTCCAGTCACTTTACCAAATGGTAGTTCAGTGATAGTCAATCAAGTTGGAAGTACACCACTCACCGACACCCTAACTCTACATGATGTTCTCTTTGTCCCTCACTTTTCTTTTAATCTTGTCAGTGTCAGCATGTTGACCACCACCCACAACTGCACAATTGATTTTTCTCTTCATTCTTGTGTCATTCAGGACCGCACTCGGGACTTATTGATTGGGAAGGGTAGACGCATTGGCAACCTCTACTACTTAACTACCAGATGTTTTCCTTTTCCTGCTGTTCATTATGTTTCCACTCACTCTAAAAGTAGCCTATGACACTTTAGATTAGGTCATCCTTCCAATGTAAAACTTCAGTATATTAATGACTCCTTACAAACTTCGAATATTTCTCATTGTAAGATTTGTCATTTAGCTAAACAACGTAAATTATCTTTCGTTTCTAACAATAGATTATCTGATAATTCATTTGATCTAATCCACATTGACATTTGGGGACCCTTCTCTCCACCCACTGTCGAAGGGTACAAATATTTTCTCACAATAGTTGATGATTGCACTAGAACTACTTGGGTGTATCTCCTTCGTCAAAAGTCCGACGTTTTTACTATTCTCCCTGAATTTTATACTCTTATACTTACACAATATAATATTTCCATTAAATCTGTGCGATCTGACAATGCGCATGAGCTGAATTTTCATTCTTTTTTCAAATCGAAGGACATTGTTTCTTACCATTCTTGTGTTGAGACTCCCCAACAAAACTCTGTCGTTGAACGTAAACGTTAACACATTTTAAATGTAGCTCGTGTTTTGCTGTTTCAATCCCATATTCCCCTTGTGTATTGGGGCGATTGCATCTTGACCGCCGTTTACCTAATTAACTGTACACCGTCCCCCTTGTTATCAAATAAAACTCCATTCGAACTGTTAACTCAAAAAAAACCTTCCTATGATCACTTGCGTACCTTTGATTATCTATATTACTGCTCAACTCTTGATAGTCATCGCCACAAATTTTCACATCGTTCCAGGGCTTGTATCTTCCTCGGTTATCCTTCGGGCTACAAAGGATATAAACTTCTCGACATCGAGAGCAACCAAATTTTTATCTCACGTAACGTCATTTTTCATGAACATATCTTCCCGTTTCTTTCCTCTCAATTACCTGATCCCATTCACAATGATTTCTTTCACGATCGTGTTTTACCGGTTCCTCTCCATACATCTACACAGTCCTTAAATTATCTTGATACACCTCTTTGCTCACAACGTGAATCCTCCCAAACACGCTCATCTCGCCCACTACGTATAACACGACCACCCTCATATTTGTCTGACTATCACTGCTACCATACAGATACCCGTGCACTCTATCCTATTTCTTCGTTCTTTACTCATACCAAACTTACCTCCCAATATCACAACTTTATTTGCGTCATTTCCTCCCACACTGAACCTACCAACTTTCATGAAGCTAACCAGTCTGATGTTTGGATGAATGCTATGAATGTGGAGTTGAGTGCCTTAGAGGACAATAACACTTGGTTCATTGTTTCCCTCCCTCTTGGGAAGAAACCAATTGACTGCAAGTGGGTTTACAAAATTAAATATCAAGCTGATGGGACCATAGAAAGATACAAAGCCCGTATGGTTGCTAAGGGCTACACACAACAATTTGGCATCGATTTTCTTGACACCTTTTCTCCTGTTGCCAAATTGGTTACTGTCAAGATTTTGCTTTCACTTGCTGTTATCCATGGTTGGTGCTTGACTCAATTGAACGTCACCAACGCCTTTCTACATGATGACCTTCACGAAGAAATTTGTATGACTATTCCTCCAGGCTATTCTCCTCGAGAGGGGGAGACTTTTCCACATCAACCTGTTTGCCGCCTCCACAAGCCAATCTATAAGTTGAAACAAGCTTCCCGACAGTGGTTTCATAAGTTTTCACGAACATTGCTTCAAGAAGGCTTCTATCAGTCACAATGTGACCATTCTCTATTTGTCAGACAATAAGGTAAAACCTTCTTAGCATTGTTGGTGTATGTTGACGATATTTTTATTGCCAGTAATGATGATCAGGCTGTCGGAGAACTCAAAGGTACACTCAAACAAAAATTTAAAACGAAAGATTTGGGAACTCTCCGATATTTTCTTGTACTTGAAATTGCAAGAAATGACACAGGAATCACCTTGTGCCAAAGGAAATATGCATTGGATCTCTTAACTGAGGCTGGATATCTTGGTTGTAAACCCTCATTTATTCCTATGGATGCTAATATCAAAATGTCTAAAGATGATGGCGAGCTCCTGAGTGATATCACCAGCTATCGGTGATTAATTGGAAAACTATTGTATTTAACCATCTCTCACCCTGACATATGTTACTCTGTCAATAGATTAAGTCAATTTCTGGCTGCTCCTAGAACTAGTCACCTCCAAACCGCCTTACGGATTCTCCAGTACATCAAGAGAACCCCTGGACAAGGTCTTTTCTTTCCTTCATCATCTGCCATTCAAATAAGGCCTTTTCTGATGCTGATTGGGGCACATGTCTGGATACTAGAAGATCCCTCACTGGTTTTTGTGTTTTTCTTGGGTCTTCATTAGTCTCATGGAAATCAAAGAAACAACAAGTCGTTTCTCGGTCATCTGCCGAAGCCGAATATCGCTCCATGGCCAACACTACTTGCGAAATCGTTTGGACTCTGAAGCTGTTGCGTGACTTAAAAGTTCAACACCACAGCCCTGCATTACTTTACTGTGATAATCAAGCCGCTCTACATATTGCTTCAAATCCAATGTATCATGAAAGAACAAAACACATTGAACTTGATTGTCATTTTGTTCGTGAGAAGATTCAAGATGGTACCGTGAAGACGATGCACATATCCATTCGAAATCAACTGGCAGATTTAATGACAAAGGCCCTTCATCCTGCACAATTCGCCAATTTACTGAGCAAGATGGGCACAATAAATCTGTACCTTCCATCTTGAAGGGGAGTATTAAGAATAATTAATATATTTAATTGTAACCGTTTTTATTTTTTTTTCTTTTGTCCATTGCTCACGTACCAGTGCTGGTACGTTCTCCTGCTGTATGTTTTCCTGCTTTTTTTTTTTGTTTTCTTCTGTTACGGTATTCCCTGTGCCCTGCATTCTGTTTCATTTTTGTTTTCTTCTGTTATGGTACCATTGCTGATGGCTATATATATTGTGTAAGCTGCAAACGTATTGTATTGAATAAAAAACATTTCCCTTCTACTTACTCTTAGGTTCATTTTGCTCTGCCTCCTTTCTGTCAAATTTTCTATCAGTTTATATATATATATATATATATATATATATAATTTTTGTTCTCCCGAATAACATATATGATTTCCTATATAATCACTGACATGTAATATTGTGAATTGGGAATCATACTTTTCCTTTTTCTGATTTTCGGGAGAAGATCAAGAAATTAACATAAAGATGTATGAGATACAATGTAATTTTTCAAGACATAATAATACATATGTTTGAAGACGTAATAAGAAAAAGAGAATTTAATTATTGTCACATGTGTAAGTGAACTGTTTATATATGTTTATTCTATTTTTTTTGGTGAAATATAAAATCAGCAAAATGCTCGTAATTAATATAAATATAATTTATTTTATAATATAAATGACACTTAAGAAATTACTATTTGTAATACTTGATTTCGAAATTTTACCTAAGAATAATTTTAACATTTTAAATATATAAAAAATTTACTTTTAAATTAATTAATTTTAATTTTTGTTGAATTTATAGAAAAAGATAAGTTATGGATGAAATTGAAAACAATTTTAAGAAAAAATTGTAAAAATTTGGGTTCGAATGATATTTTTTAAAGAAAAATAAAAAACTGGAGGTCATAGTGCAAATAAAAAAAATTTTGTCATGTAGCATCGTCCAGTCAACAACCCCGACGAACCGGAGTACGCCACATGGTAAGACACACTGACGTTGATGCCACGCGGCCGATCCGCATGCCTCACGATCGAATGACTCAAGATCGATCATGTACGCGTGTATGACCCAAATTTGTTCTATCTTTAAACGCGATCGAACAATCGAGATCAAATCACAATGAACGGTTTAGATTCATTTTCTCCTTAAACACGATTGGACGGTCGAGATCGAATGCAATGAACGGTTCAGATTCGTTTCCTCTTTAAGTGTAAATGAACGATCGAGATCAAACACGATGAAGGCCTAGATTAACACGAGATGTGTATAAATATTTCGCATCACACTGAACCCAAACCATATCTGCCAGCCTCCTGCCGGAGAAGGGAGCCGACCACCGCCGCACTGGAACCACCTACGACCGCCAAAAAAGGTAAAAATTTTCATACCCGCTTAAAATTTAATTTCAAGTACCCCGGAGCAAAATGAACGGTGGGTGAGCCGAAAATCACGAGTAAAGTCCGGCGTTGCCGCTGCAGGTAAAACCCGTAACCTCCTCCGATGAGCCTCTTCCCGTTTTTCGTTTCATACGATTTTGTTACCGTTGTGTTCATCGTTCTATTTTTTACAGGTTGACCGAAGAAAAAAATTCAGCCGTGAAGGTGAGCCAGCAAAG